GAGTCTTTTCATCACTAAAATTTGACAAAGCACTTTGAACATCGTTGACTTTTCAAAGACAGTTCAAGTTGTCATTTAATTAACATACGTTGGCCAAACAGCCAATCACTCGCCGGTCGTCCGCCACCACTACCGTCGCTAGGACACGTGGCGCTGACGACTACAGAGCGCGCCCGAGCCAGCGGAACCCCGCCCACACTCCGCGACTTCAAGAGTATGGCATTCGCATTGCACTATTTTTTTTTTTTTAGGAGGTTTTTGCTATAAGGCGCGTGCGTTCGCCAGAAACACAGAGATAGAGAGACAGAAAGCGAGAAATCACCCCCTAGGGGGGGATGGCTACGCCACAATCCCTTCTCCTCCATTCTCTTGGGATCTTGGGCACGCAGGCACACGCGCCTGGCGCGAGTTTTAAGTCACCGGGTCCCGGACTCGAACCACAGTCAGTAACATGGGAATCCAGCGTCATAGCCACTACGTCCCACATGGCACTATTTTTAAATTTGATCTTTTGATGAGAATACCAGACTGAAGGCCAGCAAGTGCTGTGGATGTGGAAGTGGCTTGTTCCCGCCTGGACTCTGAGACCCCAATCTGGACTTGGTGGCTTGTAAAGCACGAGGGGCACGTGTGCTGTGCGCTCTGTGCCCAAAGTCCCGGAGAACGGAGGAGACAGGATTGTGGTGTGGTCATCCCCCAGGGCAGTGCTCCCTCACTTTCTCTGTCTTTTTCTCTGGCAAGAACTACCCTATGGCAAAAATCTATTTAAAAATAAATAAATCAGTAGCTAACCGAATGTCCCCTGCCTAATAGGAAGCAGCCCAAGGATCTGAGTCATTAGATTCTAAGCATTTCACAATATAAATTTGAATCAGGTATAATATTGACCACAGTCATGTTTTACCCCTTTTCTACTAGGTTATTTTATAGTGAGAGATTCAGAACAAATTGAGATTATTTTCTATATTACATTTCCAATATTCTTTTATTCAGTCTAAACAAGAATAATACTGGTCACTAGCACATTTATCAAGGCAAAAATTTCAGATTATAAGGCTAGAGAGAAAAAATGAAGGTCTTAAGTATGTATCAACAGTTAAGCAGAATTTTTTTTCAAGATTTTTGCTATATTTTTGCTATGTGTGTGCTTGCTAGAGAAACAGAGAAAAAAAAGAGAAATCACTCCCCACCCCCACTCCCTGCAGGGGAATGGCCATGACACATTCTCCTCTCAGGATTTTGAGCACACACACACACACACACGTGTGTTCAGGACTCAAACAATGGTCCACCATGGGCAAGTCTAGCACCTTAAGCGCCTGCTGGCCCCTTAACCAGAAATGTCATGTGTACAAAGTACTGCTTTTTTTCTTAATGAGTCTTTGTCACTTGTAGTAAGATACAACTTACTCCTTCAAAGTAAAAGGGAAGACTAAATATCTTTTTTCTCCCTTTAAATAAAAAATAAAATTACAGAACCAAAATCAAATTTGCATTTCTCTTTTATAACATAAATTACCAAAAAGGTTCTGATCTAGGAGGCAAAAATTAAATAAAATCTTGGAAACAAGCTAATCACACACGATTCCTGATTAAGAAACTAGTAAGATGGGTCCAGCAGATGGCATAGTGGTTATGTCACTGGACTCCCACATGGTTGACCATGGTTCGAGTCCTAGACTTGGAGGCTTGAAACACTCTGGGGACGTGTGTGTTTTTGTGTCCCCAAAATCCTGAGAGGAGAATGGAGGAGAAGGGATTGTGTCATGGCCATCCCCCCCGGGAGGGGGATTTCTTGCTTTCTTTCTCTCTGGCAAGTACATGTGCCCTATAGCAAAAATCTCTTAAAAAAAAAAAAAACGAATAAAAGAACATTAACCAAGTATTACATTACGTTAAGACATGTTCAACTAGTCACATCCTTATTTCAGAAAAGAAACACTGAGCAATTGTGTCATAAGTTTATTTACAAACATCTAGTATGAGTTGAGTTTAATCCATCTTTCAGAGATTGTGACTGCATCTCCTTTTCTTGGGGAGAGTTTCTGTTTTGTTTTGTTTGCTATAGGGTGCGTGCCCTTACCAGAAAGACAGAGAGAGACAGAAAGTGAGAAATCACCTCCCAGGGGGCATGGCCACGCCACAATCCCTTTTCCTCTTGAGATCTTGGGCACACACGCACACGTGCCCGGTGTGAGTTTAAGCCACCGGATCCAGGACTCAAACTGCGGTTGATCACATGGGAGTCCAGCGACACAGCCATTATGCCAACTGCTGGTCCCATGCAACTACATCTCTTAAAATGCTCTTCATATTTATGAAATAGATTAAAACACCCTCATTTCTTGGGGCCAGTAGATGACACAGCAGTCGCATCACTAGACTCCCATGTGGCCAAATGCAGTCGAGTCTGAGACCCCGTGGCTTGAAAATCACTCCAGGTGCAGAATGGGAGAGGGGAAGAGAGGAGGGAGGGAAAATAGGGAGAGACATTTGTGGGACACCAAAATGGTTTATTACCTCTGGATGATAATGTGCTTAGTAGTCTCAACTGGCTTGGTCTGAGGTGTATTTCATGTTGCACAAATTCTCTCTACAAGCTAGATGATGTATAGCAGTTAAATGTATTTAAAAAAAAAAAACTCTAAAAAAGCACCCCTCCAGGACCAGCAATTAGTGTAATGGCTATGTCGCTGGACTCCCATGTAGTCGACCGCAGTTTGAGTCCCGGATCCGGTGGCTTAAACTCACTCCAGGCGCGTGTGCGTGCGTGCCCAAGATCCCGAGAGGAGAATGGAGGAAAAGGGATTGCGGCGTGACCATCCCCCCTGGGGGGTGATTTCTCGCTTTCTGTCTCTCTGTCTCTCTCTGTCTGTCTGGCGAGCGCACGCACCCTATAGCAAAAACCTCTCCAAAAAAAGAAAAAAAAAATCTCCAGCACTACTCCAGTGTCTGGCAAAAAGCATGAATAAATTAATAAAAATATTTCCATTTAAAGTTTCCCTTGCACTTACTTCATATTAGTAAGAAAAGTAGAAGTGATTCATGGAGTCCAGCAACGGCCATCACGCCAACTGCTGGGCCTGCAAGTTTTATTTTTTAAAAATGTTGCATGGTTAACTTTTCACCAGTCTGTTCCGGCATGCTTCTCATGATACCGGAATCACCTGGGTCAACGGCAGCCAGTGTGCACACTCTAGTATTTCCCGCATGCCGCGCCCAGGTCAGTGTTATTTCCACAGTGGTGATGGCCACCAGTTTTGGCCAACACGGCATAGCACTCTATTTCAGGTTTCCTCGAATGGGCAGTTGTTGACGACGATGACCAATTTCGCTTTGCCTTGTCTGATCATCTTCAGATGTCCCTCTCTGGTCAAAATTTAAATAATAAACAAACAAATAAATTTTTAAAGAGTTAAAATAAATCATTTTTTTGAGAGAGAGAGAGATTTTTGCTATAGGGCGTGTGCACTCACCAGAAAGACAAAGACAGAGAAACAGAAAGCGAGAAATCAACCCCCAGGGGGGATGGCCACGCCGCAATCCCTTCTCCTCCATTCTCCTCTCGGGATCTTGGGCACGCACATACACATGCCCAGCATGAGTTTTAAGCCACCGGGTCCGGGATGGGAACCGCGGTCGACTACATGGGAGTCCAGCCACATAGCCATTACGCTAACTGCTGGTCCCAAAGAGTTAAAATAATTCTAAAAAAGAAAAAAAAAGAAAAGGTTGCAGAGTTCTTAAACAGAGGTAGTAGGTCCGTCACCAGAGCTTACTCATGGTTTACACTGTTTCTAGGAACTGGGCATGCAGAGACGGGGACAGAGGCGAGTAAGTCCCTATCACACACAAAGCTCCCATACCTTTGCATGGGGGAGAGACAACCACAACAAACACATGCAAGAAGGTCACAGACGAAGCACACAGAGGATTACAGCAATGTTGAAATGGAGAGGATTTGAGGACTTTAGATTAACTCCATTTGGAAATAACATTTAAGCCAAGACCTAAATGATTAAAAAGTAGCCAGGTCAAGTGATCAGAGACAAGTTTTTGTTTTTGCTGGGTTTTTTTAAAAGAATTATTTTATTTAACTTTTATTTATTTATTTATTTATTTATTTATTTATTTAAATTTAACTGGAGAGGGAGAGAGAGAGAGAGAAAGTAAGCAAGAAAGCAAGTCGCCAGGTTCAGGACTCAAACCACAGTCAGTCATGTGGGAGTCCAGCGCACTTAGCCACCACGCCACCTGTGGCCCTGATGTTTTTAAATTTTTTTTTTTTTAATTATCACTACATTGGGACCAGCAGATGGTGTAATGGTTACATCGCTGGACTCCCACGTAGTTGATGTTGACCGCAGTTCCAAGCCCCAGACCTGGAGGCTTAAAATTCACACCGGGCATGTATGTGTGTGTGTCCAAGATCCTGAGAGGAGAATGGGGGGACAAGAGGTTGTGGAGTGCCATCCCCCCTGGGGGGATGATTTCTCCTTTTCTTTCTCTCCAGTGAGCACACGCACGCTATAGCAAAAATATCTCTTAAAAAAAAGTATCCGGGGCCGGCAAGTGGCATGGTGGTTAAAGGTGCTGGACTCCCACATGGCTGACCACAGTTCAAGTCTTGGACATGGTGGCTTGCTTTCTCACTTCCTCTCTCTCTCTCTGTCTCTCTCTGATCAAACTGGAAAATAATAATGATAATAATAATAAATAAATTTAAAACAAAATAATTCTTTAAAAAAAAATTACCAATACAATTAAGTAATTTACATCTTTACAGAATACAAGTTTTCCCCAGAATGAATATAGTGCCTATTACTCAAGTCAAAGATATCACCATGGACAGGTACCAACAGATAGCTTTTGGGTTTTTTCTTTGTTTTTTAAAAGATTAATTTTATTTATTTATTTATTTATTTAGAGAATTACTTAATTTTGTTTATTATTAT